ACTCTGAAATGGCATGGCAATAATAGCAAATAACGTTTTTTTTTATGCATTACCTTTGGGATCTCAAACAGGCCTCCACTATTGACTGCATCAACTCTCATTCAGGCTTGAGTCCATTCTGATAAGAAACACCCACTTTTCAAGATCCAGCAATGCATCATACGACAATCATAATTAAATCAAGTTAAATGAACTTAAATTTAAAATTGTGTATAATTTTCTTCATTTAATTTTCAGTAAGTAAATCACAGTGCGAGCATCACAGCCTATAATGTTTTATATAGCCTAGATTCAATCAAAATCAACTTATCTGTCATGTATTAGGAATGTAACTGGAATATTCCCTTTGAATATTGTTTGAATCTGTTTCATACTAAGGATTTACAAGCGGTCATGTTTTATGTTGATTTCAAACAAATTAAATACACACAATAATGTAATCTGACATGTTTATCTGTAACTCGGGAGCCTTACAGACACATACAGTGCCCTCCACTAATATTGGCACCCTTGGTAAATATGAGCAAAGGCGGCTATGAAAATAAATATGCATCTTTTATCTTTTTGATCTTTCATTCAAAACATTCACAAAATTCTAATGTTTCATTGAAGTAAAACATGAAAATGAAATGAAAGTTTTTCTCCAATGCATGTTTGCCACAATTATTGGCACCCCTAGAAATTATGAGTAAAATATCTCTGAAGTATATTCACATTTATTTTTATAATTCTTTAGCACACCAGGGTGACTATAGGAGCATGAAATTGTCCAGCCATGACTTCCTATTCCACAGGATTATAAATATGAGGAACACAAAGGCCAACTTCCCTTAATTATCCATCACAAGGAGTAAAACCAAAGAATATAATTCTGATCTGCAGAACATTGTTAAGCTTCACAAAATAGAAAGTGGCTTTAAGAAAATAGCTAAAGCATTGAAAATCCCCATTTCCACCATCCGGGCAATAATTAAGAAGTTCCAGTCAAATAAAGATGTTACAAATCTGTCTGGAAAAGGACATGTGTCTATATCATCCTAATGCAAGGTGAGGAGGAGAGTTTGATTGGCCAAAGACTCTCCAAGGATCACAGCTGCAGAATAGCAGAGATTAGTTGAGTCTTGGGGTCAGAAAGCCTAAAAAATTATCAAACAGCCTCTACATCACCACATGTTGTTCAGGAGGGTTTCAAAATGGAAAAATCCTCCTCACTCATCCAAATTAAACTCCAGCATATTCAGTTGTCAGACACGACTGGAACTTCAAATGGGACTGGCTTCTATGGTCAGATGAAAAAAAAAACTTTTTGGCAGCAAACCCACCAGATGGGTTTGGTGTGAACAGGGTTAAAAAGTACCCCATGCCCATGGTTAAATACAGTATACTGCTGGATCTTTAATGTTGTGGGCCTATTTTTCTGCCGGAGGTCCTGAACATCTCGTTCAGATACATGGCATCATGGATTCTATCAAATACCAACAGATAAAAAAATCTAAACCTGACTGCCCTGCTAGAAATCTTATAATGGGCCATGGTTGGATCTTCCATCAGGACAATGATCCAAAACAAACATCAAAATCAACTGCATCAACTCTGTGTCACTGAGCACAAAATGAAGCTTCTGCCATGGCCGTCCCAGTTCCTTGACCTGAACCCTATATAAAAAATGAGTGTTGTGAACTGAAGAGAAGCACCACCAACATGGAGCTGTGATTCTGAAGGATCTGGAGAGATTCTGTGTGAAGGAATGGTCTCTGATCTCTTGTCAGGTGTTCTCACTTGTGAAAAATCAAAAGGATAAACGATGCAGATTTATTTTAATATTTGCCAAGGGTGCCAATATTAGTGGAAGGCACTGTATATGACGTCACGCTGTTTGATTTAAACTGTGTGATCTATGATTGTGTGACGAGTGGGGCAGGGCCGAGAGCTGTGGGAACAGAGTGAGGCCGGTGGAGTAAATGATAATGAGCAGTGAGTGGGGCATGTGTCTCTCATTATCATTTACTCCACCGACCTCGCTCCATTCCCACAGCCCTCAGCCCTGCCCCACTTATCACAGATTGATATCAGTGTTTTGTTCTCAAACAGACATGCACATGACAGTATAAACAGGATATGAATTTAGGCCAATCTGAGCTAATTATAAAACCAGGCCTTTTTTGGGTTGACTTTTCTATACATATCTTTTGTTTTTCTTTCAGCCTCAAAAAGCTCGACATATATCGCTGTCCCGATTGTGTTGTTGTTACTCGTGTTGATTGTGCTTCTATACAGAAGACACCAGAACCAAAAAAAGTGAGACACACAAAAATCAGCAGCACATCCTCTGTCCTTTTACATAATCACATCCTACACATTTTCAGTCCATTTATCTACATTTTTATTTTTTATTTTCAGAATGGATATGCCACCTCCATTCAAACCTCCCCCACCACCAGTGAAATACACATCAGTGAGGAACCATGATATCTATATGACTGATATTCTAGTGTGAATGTATCATGTACTTGAGAACCCACAACCGTGGGCCACAAATATGCTGACATGGAAGATTCTTCCCTAAAGGCCTCACCCCAAAATTAAAATTGTTTCATCAATTACTCATCCTCATGAAGTTTTGTTCATCTTCAAAACACAAATGAAGATATTTTTAAGAAAACCTAAGAGATTTCTGTCTTTCCATTGACAGTCCACACTAGTATTTTGATACTTCAAAAAGTTCATAAAGACATTGTAAATGTAACCCATATGAATCTCCCAGTTTAATTCATGTCTTCTGAAGAGGCAGTCACTTTATATGATGAACAGATTTAATTTAAGCTTTTATATAAACATTGATCAGTACATAGAGTACATCAAATATATAATCTGTTTTTGAAAGTCTTATGGATTTATCATTTTTATTTTGGGGTGAGTTAACTAAAGTATTTTTTACTTATTTTCTTTGTATTTCTGAATCGACTGTACATAAAATCTGTTACTCTTATATATAATTAGTTCGTTCTTTTTTAGATGAAAAAAAAATGTGACTGAATTTTGCTTAACTATGCTTTACTGACATTAAATATATTATCGAATATCTTGAGTTTTACTTAGCACACATACTACTCCTACATCATAACTATGTAAAATTTTCCCTGAAATGTGTGAATTAAAAAATAAATAAATAAAGTGTGTGAGGGTGGGGTCAAAAACCGGGTAAATTCCAGAAATATGAAATATGACTAGGCCTTAGGTAACTTTAGAGTTTAATAATGTGTGTGTGTGTGTGTGTGTGTGTGTGTGTGTGTGTGTTCAATAAATGAGGCTGTCAGTTGCAATGATGGCTTTTAATACTGTTACAATACAACTGCAAAGAAAATAAGTGAGCACTATTCATAATCAGATAGCTTTGAAATAAAGTCTACATGCCAACACTGACCTCCTGTTGTGGGTGCATGGTCTGTTAACAAAGCAAAGGCTATCAGCTGATTGTTTCAGGCCCCATAAAACCTCAGTTTACACCTCAGATAGTCGAGACAAACCAACTGCCAAAACCACATCAGACAGTGACCAACAGAGACAGTATGTATCCTAAACCTTACAGGTCTAATCTACAAATACAAATTCCAGCTCTGGTCACCATATATTATAACTTGCAGTAACAGCACAATTGGTGGTTGTTTATACGGTGCTTAGAACAAAGCAGAATTTAGTTCTGTTCATGCTGCTTATACAACATCCGGCATTTTAAAATGAAGTTTACCCCTGAAAACAAGCCTTCATTCAATGTGGGAGAAGATGGAAATGAAAGGCATTTCTGATTAATGAACAGAGACATATGACTATTAGAGAGTGTATGTGTGTTAAGACAGAGAAAATAAGAAAAAGAGAGAGTTGCTTTTTGTACAGAGTTTTGTGCATTGTGGTTCTTTGCTACAACAGCGACACGTTTATGCAGAGGGACGTTTCCTGTTCTCGCTATTGTGGTAGGAAATGGAAAATTCAGAAAAAAGGATTGATTGTTTCAGTGTTTAGATCATCTGTATCCTGCACTGTATGCAATCAGGTCTCCAATGTACTATTGTACTTCATGATGCATATAGGTCATTTACCAATAATGCATGAGAAAAATAATCAATTGTGTATAAAATGTGCAAAATTCTATTTCCATTTATTTTTGCCTCGCAGAATAAAGTACAGTGCGTGAAAGTTCAGTTATACAGAATACAGAAAGTAGAAAATGAAAAATCATGTAGTTGTTCTTTAGAAAAGTATCACTTGATTACCTTATTATATATATATATATGATGTTATCGTTCATTCATTATGAATATTATAATAAATTGTAATTATAAGAACATTTGTTTTCGTAATAAGTTTGTCTTTTGACTTTGACATTTTAGCAATATTTTAGTTGTATATTGTAAATTCAAATGATGATTTGTTTTTAGATTTTACAATAAAATTGCTGTACAACAAAGTATTTGATCTCATGGATGTAACCAAATATTCAAGATTGGGGCAACAATGGTAATATTTTAAGAATTGGTCATGGAAAGACCCATATTCGTCAAGTGCTAATCTAAATATTGCAGCACTCTCAGTGTCTATGGTAGATACGTTTGATTTCGTACTTTTCACCTAATTTTTAATTACAAATTATAAAATAAATAAACATAAAGGCAATATACTTTTTAATAGAGAAAATCGAGATAACAAACACAACAGATTTGACAAATTTCACAATATGTAACAAGGAACTTTTCAAAAGCAAATTCTTTCAAAAACATTTTTAATAAATAAATACAATGACAACCGTAAAAATGAAATGCTTTCGATGTACATCTCAACAATATAGAGTGGTTCATGACACTATGCACTGTAGACTCCATGTGTTTCTTGTGATGTGAACGCTTGCAACGAATAAGGTAGCCGCCACATTTCCTGTTTGTAACCGAAAACGTCTAAAGACGATAAAAATAGCAGCAACATTGGTGCACTTCTTGCTGAACATGCTCACATACAGGTGAAAGGGTTTATCAGACAAGGATTTATTGGATATTTGACCCTATTAAATGAGGATGACAGGTAAGAGGAAAAATGCTTTATCGCTTTTATATGGGATTGTTCTCTGTTGACGGTTTTCTAACACGTTGAGGTCAAATGAAAGCTGTTTTGTTGTCTAAATCAGTAGTTCATCATTTTAATGGCAGACTGAAACTGCTTTTTTTTCTTTCATAATTGTATTTTTGCATGTTTTCTTTATGGTTCTCAGTCATTTTTTGTTCTTAAGGCTTAGAATAGTGATGGATTGAAATCAAACCCTGACATATTGAACCTTCTTTGAATAATACAGTCAATTATACAGTAATTAATCTGCACAAAACAATTAGTGAAGTTTATTAATGATATGAATGATAATAATTATATTGGTAGAGATTCTTTAAATTCTTTCAGTGTGATGGCATCTACAGAAACTCAAACAACTTTCCTTACTACAATAATTTTCTATATAAATACATAAAATGTTAAATTGAAATATAAAAATATTTGTTGAAAGTTTTAAGAATTAAAAAAAGAAGAAAACGATCTGTAACACTTTTTATGTAAATAATAAAATATTCAATTGAAATATAAAAATATTCATTGAAAGACATGTTTAAGAGGAAGTAAAAAAAAGAATTCTAAAATAATGATTGCACCAATTGCCTGTTGTTGTTGTTTCAGTTTATATTGATAAAACGTCAGGCAGTATAATGGCTATTGTGTAACAAAATTAATATAAAATGTTGTAATATAAATATTAGATAAGATGTAATGGGAAGCCAATGCAATATTCATCCAATCATGACCTGTTAATTATCTCTTTATAACCAGAAAACTGCACAAATCAATATGTGGCCATTGGTCTGACATCGACTGCACTGCTGATATCTGTGTGTTTAAATGTTGTATTCTGTTTATTAAGAAGAAAGAAAAAAATATATGCAGGTATGCTTCATACATTTGACTTTTATAGAACATATAAAAAGATGAATGAATAATGATAAATCTACAACGACTTGAGGTCACAGTTATAAACTGAACATATAAACTCTTTTTTTTTATCAGTTAATGAAAACATGTTAGAATATGGAGATGAGCCATTACGTCAAGATTCACTTCGGTCTTACAGGTAATTAACAGCATATTGTTTGAATTATATTTTTTTTATGTATTTTTTTCACAAAAAGGGGAAAAATCTTTTGATTTAAAATGTAATAAGCAACAGCCCTTTGAATCATTTAAATACATTTGGTTATATTTTGTGCAGGTTTGAGGATGATGAGATGGAAAGACAGGAAAATCCTATTTATGGAAATATCTGTTTAGATGGAGGAGGTAGGTATAGCTCATAAATACAGTAATCCAGTGTATGCCTACTATTTACTGCTAATAATTATGCTGTTATGATGACATTGTTATGTATTTAACGCTTGTTTATTCTGTGCAGGGCATTTTGAAATGTCTCCGGAGGTGTGCTATGAACAAATGTCCCATGCAAGCACAGCAAAGCAGGGATTAAAGGTATGGTCTTCAACAAATTTCATGGAAATTGCTAACATCTGGAGGCATTCAATGCACATTATTAATGTAAAATCATTTTTACATTCATTTTTACACTACTGATCTACATTAGTACACAATATATTTATTTTAAAACAATGCGTTTATCCATTAACCGTAAAACATGGAACTTTTGCACGCTTAATCAATGTTTTTATGAAAAATATGCAATATCCATCCAAATACCAATATTCCTGCCCTTATTTATTTATTTTTCCATTTATCCATTTATTTGTTCGTTTTTGTTTATTGGTTGGTTCGCTGGTAATTTAATGGCCAACTATTAACAAATTGCATATTAAACCCTGAACATAATTGTAACATTTAATATGTGGAATTTTTTCAGGTTCTCTGTCTTGTCTTATGCTACTATTAAATTATAATTTTTTTAAGTAAAACCGGCTGGTTGTTGCATGCGTTGTAGTATTTCCAACACGCTCAAAATTAGAAAGCGTACCTTCATATATCAATCTGTATTGTGTGACATTTTTCATAATCACTTCAATGGCTTAATGGTTTAAATTTAAGACATTCACAGAGAAGGGCTGCGTGAGAATGCACACTTGATAACTATTTTAGGCACGCACGCCTACGCATTTTACAGAATTCTAGACACGTGTATAGAAACAGGTCTTTTAATGAAGGCAGCTGTGGTCAGAGTTCTCAGACCACTCTACAGCAGTATGTATGTCAAAAGTTACATTGTTATGCCACATAAATAACTCGCTAGCTGAACATTCAAGTGCAATGTTAGTACTTCTGCAAGATATTGAGCCTTTTTTGTTAAGTTAAAGTCACCACCATATCAAAATTGAGATTTTTTAAAATTGAATATTGCAGTGTTTATTATAAATGATTCATCTGTGCACATCATTATTTTTTAATTCATACCCCCTCATAATGGACCCTTTTCACAGATTGTGATGAGGCATTTCCAAAGTTATTAACATATATAAATATATATATATATTTTTTTTTACTTAATACATTATCAACATTATACTTTTGCGTTCATATTATACTGTTTTCTTACCTTGGCTTACCTAAAACTAGTTAACACTGCTGCATCAGTGTTTCTAATACAAAGGATGAGGGAGTGATGGCAAATTTGACATCTCTCACTCTCTTTTGACCAACAACATGTTTTTCCACTTTTGGAAAGTCAGAAATGCTATCTTGGATTTTTTTTATATTGCTATTGGGGCAAATGAGAATACGACAATTATTTTTGTTGTAGTTTTGGTGTAGTTATGACCCCAGAAATGTGAAAAGGGTTTTTAATCAAAATCTCTCATAACGTGTTCACCGACATGAAGGCAGGACAATAACATATTCTCTTCAGTAACCTGTCACTCACATTGTAATGACAACAATCCAATCAATTTCCAATGGACAAAATAATTTTTTCGTTTGAGAAGCCGTTTCACCCAGATATGTGTCACAACAGGGAAGAAAAGATGATCATAACTTCTGTTTCATGCTGATTTTAAAATTTGGCATTAAGTTTTATGCTTTTTTCCCCACCAGACTCATTTGTAGCATTTGTTTCGGAAACTGGCACATTTTCTTTCCTAGTTCGGTCTGTTTATATGAAGACAGCAATATAGTGCTCAGATCCACATCAAAACAATTGGTCCAAGATCACCTGAACCGTGGTAGTCTTGGTCCAAATGCAAATAAACGGTTTCAGTTTTAGTGACAAAGAAATCCAATACAAAAAAACAAGCTGTATAATAATTAATAATGGTAAATGTATAAAAAGCTGTGTCTGATTTTCTGATAAAATGTCTGGTTTTCTTGGTGAGCACATATGGGAATAAAATGGGAATTAAGTGTTTGTGTGATGACAGCTACATATATAGCCTCGATGGTTGACGCTATTAAGAACGTAAACAGGTGCGCCAATGAGATGACTGGTTTACTTACATGTGACTTGCATAAACACATTTTTGTACGCTTTGAAAAGTTGTTGTGTGAAAGCGAACCGAACCAAAAAGAAAATGCAACCATTGTCACAATTTAGGTTCCTGTTGTGGAATTGAGCAAACAATCTACAGGTCTAAAACGCCTTTAATCTATTTCAACACTAAAATGATTTCAGTCATTTATAGGCTGAGACTTAGCTATTCTACCAGTATTGTGCAACTTATTGTGCAATTCTTTTGATGGCCTTTGATGTGTTGCAATTTAACCTGAAAGCCAAATTGAGGCAAGGTACACCAAGTTAATTTTTTTAGTTTTTTTCCATTGCATTGAATGTGTTACATCCTGAAATTACAGCTTAGGTTTGTCATGATCTCACAGGTTCAGCAGGGGGACGTGTCCTATGCCTCTCTGGATCTGACTGCCAATAAAAAGCGTAGGAAGAAGAGAAAATACCACAAGCAGGCTCAAACTCACCAGGCCCAGACACATCCTCAACCCACATCCCAGCAGAACGGCATGGACCAGGATGACGAGGCTGATGTCACCCTCCCGTCCCGGAGCAGCAGCCTCATGGTTTCACGTCACAGTATCTACCTCAACAGTCATCAAGTAGCCCTGGAGGCAGAAGAGAGGGAGAGGGACAGAGAGAGGGAGAGGGAGAGAGTAAGAGAGAAGGAAATAGAAAGAGAGAGAGATGATAATGCAGAGATAGAGTTTGAGATGCACAGAAATGTGCATGAAGACTTTGATCACTCCCTCAGTAGATCAAGACAAAGTCTAGAACAGGACAGTTAACAGTTTTAGAGTTAAAAAAAAACTTTAGCGTCTTAAAAGTTGAAACACAGGATACTGTGGGGTGGTGCTGTCAGCAGCTGTGATATTTAAAGCTCATCGTTAAAGTACATAAGTCACACCCCAAGTCATAATTTCTGTCTGTTCAAAAGCATGCAGAGGAGACCAGCTATTTGTTCTGAGGTTGTGTCCAATCGAGACACATCTAAATCAGTTTATCACTTTAAATGTGCTTTCTTATTTCCTGCATTTGAAGGTTGGTCTGTTTGTTGTTGTACTTACAGTAAGAAGAATATGTTAACAAATATTTATCTGATTGTTTTTTATGATAATTTTCAGGATCACATAAATGTATATTTGTGCAAATAAGGTTGACTGATGACTCAAGTCATTTGATGTACCTATGCACAGGAAAATAAGGACTGTTTTATAGCTATTACTCAGAGTTGGAATATTTCTGTGGCTTTGTCCTGATATTAAAGGTATTGGTGACTCTATTTTTGTATCTGTAATTCTTTATTTGAAAACTCTGAAGAATGTCTGAAGACGAAAACATTACCACAAAATTTACCAAATATTGACCATAAAAATATCTCACTTAGCTTTGCTAGAAACTGTCAAATGAAGAAAAAAAGAGAAAGATTGATTGCAAAAGCTTTTCTTACGCTCCTTAAAGGGGCCATATGATGTTGCTAAAAAGAACATTATTTTGTGTATTTGGTGTAATGAAATGTGTTTATGCGATTTAAGGTTCAAAAAACACATTATTTTCCACATACTGTACATTATTGTTTCTCCTCTATGCCCCGCCTTTCTGAAACGCGTGGTTTTTTACAAAGCTCATCGGTCTGAAAAGCGAGGTGTGGTCTGATTGGCCAGCTATCCAGTGCGTTGTGATTGGCCGAATACCTCAAGCGTGTGCCGGAAATGTTACGCCCTTACCATACTGTGATGCCATGTCCCGGCCGGAGCAACGAGACAAAAACATTATAACCCATTATAAACGAGGCATTTGTTGCATCCAGTGGGGACATAATTACGGATTATAATGACTTATACTGTTGCGTTGCATCGCGCCGCGTAAACATAAAACCATGTCTGCATTTGTGATCGGAGAAATGACAAACAAAAAGCGCTACTCTACACTGCTCAAAACTCGCGTTTGAATCATTATTGGCAAATCCTTTAAATCAAAACGTACTTACAGTCTGAGTCAGAACAGCCGGCATTGTAGTCTACTCTACCAGGATCAGGAAACAGTCCTCCATAAAATGCGCTGCACACATCTGAATATTTGGGTTGAACTGTTCTGGAACAGTGTTGTAAATACAACTTAACCACTGATTTCTAGTCGTGTCCTCTTTTGGAAGACCAAACAAAGTTGTTTTGCTTTCACAACGAAACACACAGCGGGCTAGAGTGAGCGACAGCCGGCGGGCTTGTGGCAACCACATGTGATGACCCCGGGCTGGACTCCGCTTCGTCCACGGTTAAAGCCGATCCGGCGATCCACAGCACGAAGTTGATGTATTTCCTCAGCGACCAGCACGGATCAGCTCCAGGCATGACGAAGCGAATATCGTCCTCTTTTGGAAGACCAAACAAAGTAGTTTCGCTTTCACAACTAGGCACAGCGCCTTCACTACATGGCAGCGGTGGTGGCAACAACAATACTACAGTGAGAATAAAAGTTAGCCGTCTTTCTTTGCGTGAACCTTTGGGCGGTGTTATGCAAATCTTCCCACACAGTGACATAGACATGTGGGGGCGTGTTAGAACAAGCCGTTTTAGGTAGGCATGGTTGACTTAGCTTTTATAAAGAATATCTCTTTGGATTTGAGACTTTAGTCTTTGCAACTTTACAGATCTTCTTTATGCACCAATAGCTTGTAACACTCCAAAGAGAAAGGAAAAATGTAAATCACATCACATGACCCCTTTAAGGCCCCGATATACTTCAAACAAAATCAAAGAACGAACTGATATGACGTCATTTCGAACAAAATCAGGCCGAAATGAAGTTCGTTTTGAGTTTGTTTCGGCAGTTTGAAACAGCTCACCAAAGCTAACTTTCAGGGGGTGTTCGTTTTGGCTCCTAAACACCTTTTAGATACCATTGGTCCGTGGCGGTTACGCAATCGGTGGGTGTGTTCTGGAACGCCACCTTCTTTGACGTTCGATTTTTTTTCCCGGTAGGGAGGATGCATTTAACTCGACAAAGCGGCCTAATAAAGGATGTATTGATCTCGTGAATTAGCGAATTTTACTATACAAATATTTTTTAATTGGATGTTAAAGTTTATATGGGAATATTACATGACACGCTGATCCTTTAACAATGCACTGGCGCAAAAAACGCACACCTTTTGGACAAATCTGCCAGAAATATTTGGACAAATGTGCCACAAAAGTGCCACAAATACTGCCTAAACAAAATACTGATTTTGTGCACTTTATTTACTGTACCAATATTTTAAATTGGCCTTTGAACTTAGCTTTATTGCATGGCAAAAAAAAGTGTTACCTTGCCAAAGCACTGACAGAGTCCACTGATCTAATGGCGTTGTTGACTGCTCCAAATGCAAACTTTGCATGCAACAATCAGGCAGCAATTGACAGCACTCTGACCTAGTGGCATACAGGCATCGTCAGATTGACAGTACTCTAGCCCAATAATGTTCCAGTGGGGGCGGCAGTCATATTTCAGGGTGACCGTGCCACTCTTTATCACAACCCTGCTAAAAGTGCCAGTACGTGCGCTCATTGGCGCCCCTTCAGCTGGTGGCGCCCTAGGCGACCGCCTAGCTCGCCTATGCCTAGAAACGGCCCTGCCCGGAGTTATGCAAAAAGCGACGTAGAGAAAGAAACATCAGATGCAAGTTTTCCAAAGCCATGAAAAGAATGAAAGGAAAGAGTAACGATATAAGGTAGCAAGTACCAAATACACGCGTTTCAAATAAATGTTACACCATACTGCTGCTGCTGCTGCTGCTGCTGTTGTAGTATGGAGAACGAAACCTGCAAAAACAATAAATAAATAAATACACAAATAAATAAATAAATGTGTGCATAAATACACGTATTCTTGTTTAAATACATAAATAAATAATTATACATGTGATGAAAGTAGGCAAATAAATAAAATAAATTGGTGGGCAAATGGAAAATGTGTAAGGAAATGCTAAACTCATCCTAAATATTTTCCTTTGATCACTCATTTATTTCTGAATGTAGTTCCACATTTGTTTTTCCTCTGCGCAACATGCTAATGAGAGGGCGTCAATTTTGCAAGAGTAGGCGGATCGTGTGTGACGCGCTTGAGCATTTGCCTGCGCATGCGTATTAACTTCATCAATTAAGGTGACTGATTTTTATCTTATACTTTTTCATAGGGTTAGTTTTGTAGTTATCATGAGAGAGCTAAATCATAAAAGATTTTAAGTGGCCAATGTAAAATATTAATGCTTACATAGCTCTTAATTGCAATACTGAACCGTTATTTGCTTAATAAACATACTTTTATCGCCTGTATTTTCTGTTCTGATAACTAATAGGAAAAAACTGTCTGTTCCTCGATTAAACCACTTCATACCAGTCATCTCACGATGACCATGGGATACTGATATTACAGTTGTCTATAGCTGGAGACTCAATCGGCTTACAAAAAATGACGTCAGGAAACGACACTGGCCATTTCTTTGGGTCGTTTGTAAAGTCACAGATACTGTACGGACAATACAGCTCAGTTTTTTATGTATCTTGCTCTGTTAAACGGAAAAAGTGACTTTACGTAGGCCATACTGGATCAACACCATGCATTTCCTGTCAGCGGGAAAGCCGACCAAGTCCATGGTTGACACCCTCTCATTAGCATGTTGCGCAGAGGAAAACTAAATGTGGAACTACATTCAGAAATAAATGAGTGATCAAAGGACAATAAATAGGATGAGTTTAGCATTTCCTTAAACATTTAACTTAAAACTTTATTTATTTTATTTATTTGCCTACTTTAATACATTTCTATATGTATGTAAACAATAATTTGTGTATTTATACAGACATTTATTTATTTATTTATTTGTGTAGTTATTGTTTTTGCACGTTTCGTCCTCCATAGTGTTGTTCTTTCAATAAGCGAATTTAAAAGGTATACAATAAATGAAATGCCAAAAGAACATACAATAATAAACCTTTGTTTCTATCGAATCATGACACCACATAAAATATAAAAAGGTGTAATAATGTATACAGTTTAATAAAATAAATGAACACTAATAAAATAAAGTAACAAACAGGTTTGTTATTGAGATGACTCTAATGTTTTTTCCACATCATGCTAAAGTTTTCAGACTATGAGCCATTCACACTTAAAGACTGATTATGGGAATGGAATGGTTCTTTTGTATTGCAAACATGCTACTTGACTCTGAACTGCTGCTAATCATTATTCGTTTGTCTATAATATTCTGACCATTGGTACCCGTCTCACACCTAGATACACCATGATTGCATCTGTATTGTGTTTAGGGCATACGCGCGAGCGTCGCGACACATGTCTTTCATTCATCTACACCCCGCCTCCAGCAGCGCGGGGGTGTCGGAATGTTCGGAAACCCACGCTCAGCCTTTTCGACTTATTTTTGCCCCCAAACGAAGAACGGAAACGAACTTCGTTTGAAGTATATCGGGGCCTTCAGCCTTTTATTAATAAAAATAAATAAATAAAGTAAAAAGACTTCATTTCACGTACAGACACTACAGGCAGGAACATGCCCCAGCACAAGCGCACTACAGTAGCGAGCGAGGCGAGGTGAGGAGGACTTTTTGCAAATTTCCGTTGCAACTAGTCGTGACGTGACGTTCGCTCCTGTGGTCACGTGATTGTAAACATGGCCGCGCGCTGTTGAAAGTCATGCGATAGCTCTTGGATATCGTTTCTTATTTTCATCTCTTTGAATTAAAATTTATTTGCAGTTATATAGACGTTTATCTTGATATATACTGCCAACGATATTGTCATGGACCCCACCGGACAACTACGAAATGTAAGTATGACAACCAGCGCGTGCAGTCCTTATTTATATGAATGTGACAAATATTTTATAAAATCAAGATTTTATTGTTCTGTTTTTTGTGGTCTAACGTTAGTTGCGGGACTTCCTGCTCGTTTACAATCGCATGACGGAAATCTGCTTCCAGCGATGCACAAGCAATTTCAACTACAGAAATCTGACAATGGATGAGGTAAGGCAAAAATTATAGTGCATTATTTATTTTTCAGTTTTTCTTATATTAGTGTTATTGCATCTTTACTGTGTAATTCAATGTGTGTCGTGTATGTTTGCATGGTGTGTGTACTTTCTTCTACACTGGAAGCTCCTGTCGCCAAG